TTAGTTCATTCCTTTACATTGCCAAGTAAGGCCCCACGGCGTGGATAACACTCCGATGACTTTCAAAGAGCAAACATTTTAGCTCCTCATGAAGGGAAACCAAAGCATATGTCCAAGCACATCCTTGCACTCAGATGCTCATGGCAGTTTCATTTGTAATAGCTCAAAACTGTAAACAACACAGACTTCCATCATCTCGTCAGAAGTATAAATAAATTGTGTTGTGGGACACCCGCATGTTGAAAGGCTACTCAGCGGTACCAAGGAGGCCGATACACACCAAAAGTGGAAAAAAAATCCCCGAAGCATTATGTGAAGTGAAAGAAGGCTAAAATCTATGACTCTACTCATAGGAAATCCTAGAAAATACAGATATAGTGACAGAGCACAACAGTGATGGCATGGGAAAGATGGCAGAGAAGCATGAACTGAACACGGGACAAAGGAAATGTTTAGTTTGGTGGAAATATTTATTACAATGGCTGTATGACTATACCTGTGTCTAAATGCATCAAATTTTAATGTATAAAATCAGTAAGAAAAAAAATAAAGTTTTTAAAAATTATTACGCATTCCTATTGTTTCATTAGTTCCAACAGTCTCTAACTTCTTCCAGGTCCAGTCTGCTCTAGATTATTAATTAATAGAGTTTCTGCATTTAGTTATAGTAATTTAAATTATAAATGAACATTTAGGCCTTTAATTCATTTTTTTTTTATATCCATGGGAGCTGGATAGAAAATTTCCTAAAATAATATGATAAAATGTATAAACCAGTCCAACTTCCAGATGGAGTAAGTTGGATATGGCCTATGCATTTCAGAGAAAGAAAAGCCAGCTAATTATGCACCAGACATGCCCAGAGCAATGTGGCTACATTATAAAATACAGAACTTATTTACAAACATAAAAGAAAAAAATTAAGTCTTAGCACCATACCATTTGTGTCAGCTAACAATACATGTACATAACGCATGGGTTTTCCTGGGTTCCACAAATAAAGGGCTATCAAATGTATTAGGACACAGTAAATGGGAATAAAATTAAGGAAGGGGACTAAACGAGAATTCATTTTAAAAACTAACTCAAATAAATTAACCTAAAAAATTCTTATACAGACCAACAACATGGTGCTGTTTTTATGATTTGAAGAATACAATTAATTTGTTCTTGGCATGAAAGGTCTAAAAACATCCTTATAATACTAAGAAATACTTAACATTAATAAATCCCAAAAAATATATGTAAGAGTGTTTGGGATAAATATTAAAATTAGTTCATTTATCCAACCCACTCACTAAAAAATTTTATTGGAGAAAAGACCCATTATTGTTAGAATAATACAAAATGGATGGTTTCATATGGTAGTATTCTCAATCATACTCACCCAGTGCTATCTCTTCAAATATTAGAAATCAGAAAAAATAAAAAAGGAAAGCAGAACTGAATCAGATATGTGCACTAATGGAATAAAACCTATTTTAAAGCCAAATGAAATATAACATATTTTTCTAGATGGTCATTGAACGACAAGTATATGGATAAATATATACATTTGAATAAACACATATATTCAAAAATTGTTTATTGATATGTATTATATATAATTAAGAAAGAAATGTGATCCATTGTTAATTTCAAGAATAGAAACGTTTTTAATAGAATGAGGCAAGTATATAAGTTTTTCTTTCATTTCAAATAGATCTAGAAAATCATTCATTTACTTTACCTACTAAAAATGTAGTTAAATATGAATAAGCTCTTAATTAAAATCTGTTTTTAAAAGATGAAGAAAGAAGTACAAGAAGAGAGCTGGGGAGACAGCTCAGTGGAATAAGCGCTCCCTGGCAAGCGCAAGGGCCTGAGTTCAATCCTTGGTTCTGCAGGAAAAAAAAAAAAAAAAAGTACAAGAAGTATACAATAAGCCAAGATGAAGAAGAAAACTGTATTACCTCTAAAGAGAGTTTAGAGATTAATTTGCCTAAATTTTGATTTTATTGATATGGAATAAAAAAGAAATTTCTGAAAGGAATCAAAAAGACTGATGAACTTTTGCTCCCAGAGAAACTCTTCAAAATTAGGTTAATTACTACTGAATGTGTCTCTAAGACCTGCTGCCACCTCAGAACTGAGCTTTCAGACACCCTGCTCCGTCATAAGACAGCCCTCTATCTAGCACCACATCAGTTACCTGGGAGCCAAAGCTATATGCCTCCTTGGTCTTCAACATTATTATGGAATAAAAGGAATACAGCCTCAGGCAGATACTACGAATGTTCAATTTAAATATTTCTCCAAAATAGACACAATAGCCTACTAGCACAGGTTTGACTCCTAGCCCTAAGCAGTCAGAGGCTCCCAGAGGAGACATGTCCAGCAGGTTCTACACAAGAGAACAAGCTCTCTGCACTGACGCATGTCACAGGTAACCTTTACTTCCATCTGTAACAGCCATCAACACTTACTTTCCAACTTCTGTAAATTGCTGCCGATGAGTTCCTCCACCTCCCCTAGCTTTCTTGGAAGAATGAGGTCCTTTCTGGCCCCTCTTGACTTTATGGGGCTAGTGGAAATGGTAGAGGTGGGAGTCTAGCCCCTTGTACAATTAAATAAAAGGCAGAAATGGCCTTCTGATTTTACCATCTCCTTTGACTTCTGCCTTTGTCTTGCCGTAATTGACACTGAGCTAATGTGTTCATGCCTTAAGTGCTAAAATTTTGATAAATTTCTATCTTTTTCTTTAAATCTCACTTCAGATCACAGAAGAATGTACGTAAGACAAATTAATTAGTCACTGGCACTGTGCCCTGGAGCCACACCCCAGCTCTATCTCACTACTCTGATTTTCCTGGAAACATTGCTTTCTGATCTTAAAGGGCTCTTTGCTGGAACTAAAGGAAAAAAGTGAGCCAATCAAATCACAACTCTTCAGAGAATGAGAAGTTGTGTTGTAAGTACAGTCTAGGATAAAAGAAGGAAGATCTCTTGTGAGTCACAAATGACAGACTCTCCTGAAACATTGGGACCAATTTATGTGAACTTTTAAGATAGTTCAGAAAATTTCATATTTCTCAACATTTCTTTGAGCTACATATTTTCCCTGAAATATTATTTTTTTCTCTTCTATCAGGAATATTTCACTGTGAAAGTCCAAGAATACTGATACAGTAAAAAAAAAAAAAATAGCATTCCAAAATCAATAATCCCAGACCTAGTATCATACACATGGGTTCAAGGCCTAGGTCTGTTCATTTCATACAACTGTACCCTGGCCAGGCCACATATCTCTTATTTTCTTTCTGCAGATTGAGAACATACCACTTGTGAGAGTATATACATCTTTGACTATAAATTTTTATCAAATGCAAAATGTAACTAATATTTTATTTATTATCTGAGTGGCTAAATCCACTATTTTTAGAATAGAAAAATTAGTGGAATAGAAACTCTAGAGAAATATAAGCTTGGGGACTGGGGAGATAGCTCAGTGGAATAAGTGTTTGCCTGGCAAGTGCAAGGGCCTGAGTTCAATCCCTGGTTCTGCCAAAAAAAGAAAGAAAGAAAAAAGGAAATATAAACTTAAACTTCAAAATAGTACAGTTTCTCTCCAATACTATGGTCCTTCCTTCTACTGCTCAAAGATCTGAGGCTAGAGGAACAACTCCGTTTTCTGTAGTATCACAGTGGAAAAAGGTAAGGGAGAAGTACTACATGTTAAAGGCACAGAAGGACAGAAGATACAGACTACACATACTCCTTTAAGAAGAGGCAGGAATGGTCCTAGGAAGTCAGAGGTCAAGATCAACACATGACAGGTTGGGCCTCCACAGCTGTGCTGCTTTGGCAAAATAATGTTCTGGCTCTGTCTCCTGATCAAACTCTGAAGAACGGAGTTGCCCACCAAAAAGCAGGAAATCTACAGCTGGGATCGGTAGTGGACCTGCACACATGTCAAATTCAAAGTTTACTGGGTCCAGTGCAAGAAAAGCAACTACTTCAGGATAGTAAAAGAGTAACTCATTAATTCTGACATACAGTGGCAAACTCTATTTATGTCTTCTCTGACAAATTCAAACATGTGAGTAAAAAGTAGAATTAACTGTCACATACTCAGCCAGGGGCTTTCTTTTCCACCCAACAGCAACAGTACATTGTTGGCCCTCATGGAATTATTTGTACAAGACCCCTGGCAAGTCCACAGAGTAGAGCTGGCCAAACTAACTCTCAAGATGAGGACCCTGAAAATGGTTATGAACATATGAATCTGTACTACAGTTAATCTCGGACAACATGATCTTTATCAGAGTTTGTCTTAAGCTCTTCCAACTCCTGACATTCAAATACTCTTTTGCTCTAAATGAATTAATGTGATAATAAGTTTTTTGAAACAGAGATAACTACAGAGAATACAGATGAACATTTATCTCCTGTTATCAGAGCACCAGTGCAATTCCAATAAAAATGCTGGAAGATGTATCTACTTAAATTAAAGAAAAATAATTTTATATTTTCTGAGAAAGAAAATTTGTATTTTTCCCTAATATTCTAGAAAAAAGAACAGTAATAAAACTTCTGAATAAATTATACAGTACAGCATATTTGATTTGGTCTTTAATGGGATATTTTATAGGCACTCTCCAACATGGACTCCTCCGACTCTGACTTTCTGGGCATACAGATGTGCTGTCAGACAACACAGGACAGGGAAGGACAACTGGGCATCGTATTGTCACAGACACTGAGAAGCTCTGCAACCCTTAGCCTGGCTTGATTTCAGTTCTCTTCACTAGGAAGCCCATGCTGCAACCCACATTTCTAATTTTTTCTCATTAAGCTTCTAATTAGATACTGTTTTGTGTGCATTCAGGAGCACAGATTCTTCCCAAGAATCTGTAATAAAAAGAGCATCATTAAAAACTTCATGAAATCTAAAACATTCTTTTTCTAGAGTTGCAATGAGGAAGGGAAAAGGGAAGGAAAGATGTACAAGTATTACTTACTTTTCAAAGAAATATCTGATGATCAGCAAGAGAAAAGCATACGGAGCTGTCATATACAAGTGGGAAGGTTTGACGAAGACTAGTCCATCATGATCCTCAAGGTCTGACCACTTTATTGTTGGGGGAAGCCAAAATCTTTCCAGCCAGAACCACTCTTTAAATGCCTGGAACATTCTAAACCAATGGAAAAAAAGAGTATATTAGGGTTAATCAAATCAGTGCTTAAAGTTGAAATAATATTGTTCACCTTCAGTCAAAATGTCTAGCCCTGAGAATTTTACAAATAAAACAAGAATTAAATACTATTACTTAATAGGTTTTATGACCCTTTGTTACATTAAAGACGAATTACTCTTCTAATAATCTCAGGTCAGTGTTGACTATGGCATGAAAGCTGCAGTTTAGCATACAGTAGTAGTTAAATATACAATAAAATATGCTCACACTTTGGGGGTCACATGTGTGAATATCATGGTCATGTATTTTCCTCTTATATGATTCCATGATATTAAAAATAACAATAGACTCTATGACTTCAAAAATCCAAAAGTCAATCTCTTGAAAGCTCTCAGAACCTTCACTAGTAGAAATCGTCACTAGTACCCTAAGAAATTTTCTAGGTGATAAAGGAGAGACACATTTCATTTCCTATTTCAAAAAGGAGTTGAAAGTAGTCATGTACTAACTATGCATGGAGACTGTATTATTGCGAAGCACTGTGTGAGGCATAGGGGACACTAAGATTAATAAGCCAAGTTTCCTGCCTGGGTGACAAAAATCTTTAGGGCAAAGCAGGCCAAATAGGTAACTATGACACTTTTGTTAGATGCAATAAGAAAGGGACATGCAAGAGGCTTTGGGAAGCTTGGAGTGTCTTGAGTAGTAAATGTAAATAAGTGAGGAAAAGGTAGAATAGGGAAAAGGGAATTGAAACTGTAGGCAGAGAAACTACTATGATCAAGAACCAGAAATGGAGAAAAACACAAAATTAACATTCTCTAAAAACAAAGAAGACTAAAACTAGAAACCAAAAAGATTTCTGTGATCCCAGGAAGTATGGGGATTTCTTGTGACCAACAAGCTAACAGTTCTGGGGCAGTGAGCACCAGCACAGGGTCCTCTAATTCAATCTAACTCTGAGATTATTTACGTGGAAACAGCACTAGCTCGCATTAGCTTGAGGGCGCCCCCCTCTACCTCAGGTGCCAGCCTCAAGTGCCAGGTGATCCTACCTGTGCTCCTGCCAGCTGGCTGCCCATCTGGCTTCTCACACCCCCTCTTCAGGTTCAACTCATTGGCTACAAAAGTGTACAGGCCTTAGGAAACAGCCTCACTAACTTATTATCAAGGCAACTGCACAGGGTCCAAGGAGTAGGGTGAGGCAGGTGGGAAGGGCACCTACTGTGCATGTCCTCTGGACATGCCTCACCGTCTTACCACCCTCAGAAACCTCCCTGGAGCTAAGCACTTGGCAGCTCTCCAACCTGACCTGGGGGGTTTACAGAGATTTCAATATATCAGTATGATTACATCTCTGGCCACTGATGGCTGACTTAGTCCTCGGTCCTTCTGCCCTAAGGACGGGTGGGTGTTGGGGCCAAAGGTGCAAATCCTCTAATCAATCCCACCTCGGTCCTTCCTGGGCCCAGCCCCCCTCCTGAAGCTACTTAGGGACTGTCAACCTTTACCAGCCAGTTCCTTAGCATACAAAAGACATTATCACATTCTAAATTCCAAGGATTTTAGGAGTCCTGTAGCAGGAAAAGGGGTGAAGATCAAATACATATATTTTACAATATTACTTAGATATTGTAGTTACATTTTTAAATTGTGACCATATCGATCTTACATTCCAATGTTAAGAATGCTTTGACTTTTTTAAATTTATGTATGTATTTATTTATTTATTTGGTACAGGGTCTTAGCACACAGCTTGGACTCATATGATCCTCCTTTCTCAGCCTCCCCAGTGCTGGGATTACAGGTGTGTGCTTCTACTGGAGGTTTCAGTGGCTGGCATGCATGCCTGGGGATCCAGGGCCAATACTGCACGCAGTACTGGGGATTAAGCCCGAGTCTCTACACTTGCCAGGCAGGTGCTTAGACTGCCAAGCTATCTCCTCAGCCCTTGATTTTATCTTTAAATGTTTAATCAGAAAAATGTCAAAATGTCCTCAGATTCACAATAGGGTAGATTAAATAGCTCTATCAAACTTCCTGATCTGGATATAACAAGGCGCACCTGGAACACTATCAGGAATTTGGTGTCACTACAGCAAAAGCCCAAAGGTGAGGTGTGGTGGGTTACACATCACTGATAGGTCCCCAGGTAGCCACAGCTTACTGCCCAGGCATAGTTACTAATGTTTCCCCTTTCAGAAGTGTTTCAGTTTAGATGATAAATCATATGGTCATTCTCATCAAAAGGTTGCTGAGGCCGCAGAGAGTTTTTGTTCCAGCTAAGGATAGGAGTAAAATGAGCAAATGTATTAGAAGGCCCCTTTGGCAGCCAGGTCTCCTGTGAGCCCACTGGCATCTCTGTGTCCAACACAGAAATGCAGCTCTTCAAGTTCAGTGGACCAAGGGATGGCTCTCAGTCCTACTACCCAGCACCTCTGCCCCTGGCCAGGCACACCGTGGCAGCTCTGCTGGCAGCGAACTATGTTTCAGGGGATGGAGGCATTTCAGGCCGTCAGAAGCTTGCTGTAATAGATGCAGTCATGGCGGGGAGGCTGGTGGGAGCCTGGGGGGCAGTGGAAAGAAGGTGCTGGAAGGAGTGGCAATGGAGTTAGGGTTCTATTCCCAATACTGTGATGATAATTATTATGTAAAATAATTTGTTTGTTCTCTAAAAGCAACTCAAGCCCATACAGATTATTTGGTCCAGTGTGAAGTAAACCTGGTCAAATAGCTTGTGATGCTGTGAGGCTCGCCCACTCTAAAAGTCCTTGTGCAATATGTGCAAGTGGTGAGCCAAGATTTGTTGAAAACCATCATAATGTTAATGCCCAACAGCTAAAAACATTTAAAGGGAAACACAAAGGAAACAGAAATTGAGAACAGCCCTCGAGATAATGTAGTTCAAACTGAGAATGAATGATAAATAGTATTCACTCTTTCCTCTAAAGCATTAAGAACCCCTTCTTTTTCACATGGAACACAAAAAAATAATTCAAAATAAATGACAGATCCATAAAATGGTGAAAATTATAAAGCTTTTGGAAGAAAATCCTAGTAACTTTACACATGACAAAAGAAAAAACAGCACATATACTCCATCGAAATTAAAGTCTAGGGTCTGGGGAGATAGTTCGGCAATCTAAGTGTTTGCTTGGCAAGCACAAAGCCCCAGGTTTGATCCCTGGTACTGCATGCCACAATGCCACCAAAACCAGGCGTGGTGGTGCACACCTGTAACCCCAGCGCTGGAGAGGCTGAGACAGGAGGCTGACCTACGAGGATCACTATGAGTCTGAGCTGCACAGTGTGACACTGTACCAAATAAATAAATGATTAAAAATTTAAAATCTTACGCATTTCAACAAATACCTTTAAGAAAGTGAAAAGAATCCATAGAGTGGGAGAAAATATTTGAAAACCATATACCCAATAAAGCATTTATATTTCAAATATCTAAGAACACTTACAACTCAATAATAAGAAGTACCCCAACTTAAAAGCTGGTAAAAGGATCAGAATATGCACCTCACCAAAGATACGCAAATGGCCAGCCAGTAAGTGCAAGAAAAAATGCTCAATATTAGCCACGAGAGAGCTGCAAATCAAACTATGCTCAGGAATCACCTTTCATTCATACCGGGATGGCTGGAATAAAAATGATAACACACGTTAGTGGATATGGAGACCCTGCTGTCAGACTTGCCTCGGATGCTGCTAAGAATGTCAGTTGGAGGGTTGGCTAAATAGCTCAGGGATTAAAGCAGCTGCAAGCAGATGCAGAAGCCGGAGGTTTGATCCCTGGGATGCTGTGCCAGCCCCGCCCCTGGGACACACACACTGAGATAACGACTGAGACTGGGCATGGTGACAAGTGCCTGTAATCCCAGCTCTTGGGAGGCTGTAAACAGGTGGGTCATTACAAATCCGATCTAGTAGTGAGACCATGAACACCCTGTGTTTTCCCTAAAAAAAAAAAAATGCCAATTAGTACAGCTGCTGCAGGAACCAGTCTGCAGTGCCTTAAACTGTTAAGTATAGAGCTAGTTTATAACTTCTAAGTTTTAAGTATCTAGTCAAGAAAGTTCAAAGGACTCATGTTACACCCTGGATGATTCTTAAACACATTATGGTTAGTGAAAGGGGCCAGAAAGAGGCCAACAATCATATGCATCCATGCATGTGAGATGCTCAGTCGAGGTAAACCTAGAAAGGCAGAAAGTGAGTTAGAGGTTCCTCAGAATGTATATGTGTGTGTTGTAGGGTCCCTGAGGTCAGAGAGGAATAAAAGTGATTTCTAAGGGGGGAGGGTGCAGGGTTGAGGGGAGGACAATGACAATGTCCAAGACTTGGGTATGGCAGTAGTTACACAATGATGTGAATACACTAGAAATCATGAAACGACACTGAGTAGTAAATTCTCAATAAGGGAACTTAGAGCTGGCCAGATAGCTCAGCAGACTAAAGTGCCTGCTTCGGCAGAACACAGTAGCCTGGGGTTCGATCCCCAGTGTGCCATGCTGGCCCTGCCCGCGGGGCACTCTCTGCGACTGGGCATGATGGCACATGCCTGTAATCCCAGCGCTTGGGAGGCTGAAAACAGGTGATTCTCCTATGTAGTAAGACCCTGTAGACCCTATAGTCCCTGTCCTAAATACAGGAAAAAAAAAAGTGAGCTGTATGCCAAGCAAAGTTTGTTTGTTTATTATTTGGTACAGGGTCTCACTATGCAGTTCAGACTCACAGTGATCTTCCTGGGTCAGCCTCCCCAGTGCTGGGATTACAGGCATACAGCATCGTGCCTGTTTTTGGTGATCCACACAGGGCACCTGGGGTTCTAAGGACAGCAGGATGTGCACTACCAGGGATTGAACTTGAGTCCTTGCACTTGCCAGGCAGGCACGTAGACCACCGAGCTATCTCCCCAGCCCAAGCAAAGTTTAAAAGTTAAGATGCTTCCTTCTCCGACCCATCTCCCTCTAACCCTGCACCCACCT